GGTGATTATCACTATAGGTGTCTTCTGTATACGTCATAAAAGTTAATTCTGGATTAAAGTTAATATAAATCCACAGTATTTGCACAGAAGATGCAAGACACATCTGTTGTTTCACATGAAAAATAGGGTATCTGTGTAATGGCAAGTAGCATTCACCCTCTACATTTTCTAGATCATACGCTAATGTTGATAATGAGACATTTGCAACAGAGGAAAAAATATATATCTCTATGTATATATATATGTATGTATGTGTGTGTGTGTGTATGTGTGTATATATATATATATATATATATATATATATATATATATATATATATATATATTATATTTATATTTATATTTATATTTATATTATATTATATTTATATTTATATTTATATTTATATTTATATTTATATTTATATATATATTTTTATATTTATTTATTTATTTGTTTATTTATATATTTATTTATATATTTGTGTGAGAGTGTGTGTGTGTGTGTGTGTGTGTGTGTGTGTGTGTGTGTGTGTGTGTGTGTGTGTGTGTGTGTGTGTGTAATTCCCAGCATCAACCTCTCCATCCCTCTCTTGGCACTTGTTAGTTTCCTCACTAGTAATTTGGTTATAGTCCATATTTCTAATCCATAGGTCATAACTGGGAGGATTGGTTAAACACTTTTCTTTGTAAACATAATGGTAAGGAGCCTCTTAGTGTGCTACTATGTCTGCTGAAGGCACTCCACCCTAGACTGATGCATAGCTTAATTTCCTCTTCGCTAGATGTGTTTGTGTGTACAAGTTGCCCTAAGTGTATATATACTTGCCCACTACCTCTAGCACTTCACCTTGTACATGTGTCTATTCGAACTGAACTCTACTGTTGAACATGATCTTTGTCTTTTTCTTGTTCATCCTTAACTCCAACTTTCAGACTTTCTCTGAGTTACTGCATTTCATTTGCAGATTCACTAAAGAGAACAATATCATCTGCAAATCTTAGATTGTTTTGGTATTTGTCTCCTATTTTGATACCCTTTTCATTCCATTCAAGCTTCTTGAAAATATCCTCAAGACAAGCTGCAAACAGTTATGGTGAGATGGTATTGCCTTGTCTAACACCTTTTTAATTGGTATTTTATTGGTTTCCATGTGGATCTTGATGGTTTCTGTTACATCATATATATCTTCCAACATTTTACAATATACCTCCTCTATTCCCTGTCTTTGAATAGCCATTACTTCAGGTATTTGTACAGAGTCAAATGCCTTTTTGTGATCAGGGTTTCTTGTAATTGTTTAATTTTTCTCTTATTTGTGTGAGCGTGTGGATGTGGTCTGTCGTTGAGAATCCACTGCGTAAACCTGCCTGTTTTCTAGGTTGGTTAGAATCCAAACTGTCAGAGATACGAGTTCTGTCTGTGGCTGTTCATTTGAGTTGGATAGATCCCTGTAAAAGTTTTCCACTACTCTTATGATTTCATTTTTATTATATATCACTTCTCTGTCTGGCTTCTTTATTGCATACATTTGATTTCTCCTTGTTCCGAGTCTCCTTTTAGCTGTTTTCATGCTGATAATTGAGATCACTATTTCATTTATTTGAGTAATGAATTTACATACATCTTCTCTCTTCTTTTTATTTATTGTTTTTGTTAGTTTACCCAATTCTATCTAGTCCCTGTTTGATGCATGGTGACATGCGTCAAAGGATTCCCACTCCCAACAGCAGGACAGTTGCCAGAAATTTCCGTCACTAATGGATTAAAGTGAAGGAAACCCTTCATAGTTTTCAAACATTTCCATACAAACTCCAGTCCTGTGCTACAGGTCACCAACCAGTTTTTACTATCATGACCATTGGATTACCTAGTGAATTGCATGCTTATGTAAATTTTATAGCAAAAGAGGCAATACTTTTCAGTGAATTAATGAAGGCATATTCATTACCAGGTGTACGTACCAAGCCTGAGCAGTACAGAGGTAGACATTGGTGCAGGTGGGCTGCCCATATACAGCGATGGCCAAGAGCGAGGAACAGCTGTGTCGCAGGACCAAGAGGGAGCTCCTCCTCCATACTGGGCTGTTCTGAATAAATTTTCTGGTACTCAGAACTGGCCACACCAGACAGTAATTCTTCCAGGTGAATGTTGGGACTTCTTTTCTTTTCTCTTTTACACCATGCCTTGTATTTTGCTTTTACACTGATGTTATTATATGCACTGAATGGTTGTCAAAACCAGTAGTTCTTACAGACATTTTCTTTTTGCAGGACATGAGGTTATGTTCTCCTTAGAAACTGCTTCTGACTATGTAAAAGACGAAAGAGCCAACACCTATGGTTTTCGGGTCCTCATTGTGGGTTACGAGTGGCCACCAACTCCTCCAGATTCTCTGAGACACTTGGAGAAAGAGTTGTCTTACTTAGGAGGGCTGTGTTCAGCATCCCTTATCAAGAAGGACCTCTGCTTACCACCTATTGCAGGTAACGTTACAAATTTCATGTTTCTTAAGCAATTAGATCTAAAATATTCAAGATTTTTAATTTCTTGTAGACATACTTAACCCTTTGGATCCGGTTGCCCCACAGCAATCACATGGCTCAAAATCCAGGCTGCTTTGCTGGGTGCTGGTCATTTTCAGCTTTTTTGCCATTTTTGCCATAAACATTTGTCTATTGATGTGAATATTGCTAAAGCCCCTTTCAAAATGCCAAATGAGTCTAATCACCCTCCAAGAAGTCTGTGCACCTGTGGAGAGTCTTTCCCCACACCTTGGCCTTCAGCCAAAACACTCTTGATGGCAAGTTCATCATACCCGGCACAAAGCCAGATTTTTCCATGGTGAGATGGTGATGTCATCCAGATCATAGGGGTTAAGATTCTTCTTGCTTTCTCCCTCTTTTTATGAATTTCTAACCAATTTTTTGTTTGTTGTAACCAGGTGATGAATTGGATGAGGATATGGAACTAGTTGAGGAAATGTCACTGCAGGTGTATCGAGCTCACCCAGGGCTACTGAGTAAAGGGTTTGCCCTCTCACATCCTCCAACTATTCACCAAGCTCTCGATGGCGTCATTCCATTCAGGTAAGACCACCTAGGAAACCCTTGCCTTAAATTCCTGACTGGATCACTAAAAGAAGCCATCAATTGTGTGTTGATATTTTTAATACTTTTTCTTTCTTTCTTTCTTTCTTTTTCTTTTTCTTTTTATAGCTGAAAGAGGTTACTGTTTGTTACAAGATAAGCCATCTTCTTAGCTGAGATGGTTTTGATTTTGCAGACACAGTGAAAGAGACATTATTGTGCCAGTAGCAACCACAGTCATACAGAAACTTACTTTTTCCACTTATTTGTTTTTGTTTTTTTGGTTTGTTTTGTTTTTTCATTTAATTTCTCTTTTTTTCATTCTTTCTTTCTTTCTGTTTTTTTTTTTATTTATTTATTTTCTTTTTCTTAATATTAGTGAATAAATGTAAGGGTATAATTTGCTTGAGGTTAATAATATTGCAAGATATTTTACAAGTTATTGAAAACTCTTCAGTGCTTCAAAATTAAGATAAAGTGAAAGGTAATGAACAATGAGTACTGAGCCTTTTTTTGTGTGCATTCTATTTGAAAACATTGCATAGGAGTAAGTGAAGATGAGCAAGCCCTCACCATCTTTGCATTGTTTATAGCAAAGGGCATTGTAAAGAACATATATAGATTGCTTAGAAAATACAGATTTGCATCCTGCACATAAAAGATCATCCTTATGTACCCATTCATGTAATCTACACACAAGAAAAATATTTATAGATTTCATAGCTCAACACACAGACCAAAAATATAAATATATGTATTGCTATCATAACTCTCCATTCATGCAAAAAAGATGTATATTGTTTTCAAAATTGTGCCATATTTTGCACTGAGATTATCTGAAATAAGTATTAACCCAAAGCTGAAGGGCATCACATCTACATGTATGCCATGCCCACTGTGAGTTCACTAGTTGAATTGTTTTTACACATAAATGGCTACACTTGTACTAAGTCACCAATGAGTCAATTACCACTACTGCCTGTCTCGGTGGTTTACCCTTTTCTTTGATTTACGAAAATATTTTACATTATCTTATTTTGCTGTTACTAATGTTTATAACATTATAGTAATTATAATGTTTATAATAAAAAACTAACACCATTGATATTCATAGCAATAGTAAAAAATACATTTTTCCCACCAATTCAAGGAAAGGTGAAATCATGTAAGGTCACAGGATCTACTAATTGACTCCTTTGTGACTCAGCACTAGCAGAGACATTTATGTGCAGACATTTCACCAGAAATATAAAAAATGAGAACAGCATTTTCCCCGGCAACATTGGGTCAAGTACATATCCAACATAAAGATGCAAATCATCGCTTCAGTTACTACTCTACCATTATAAGATTTAGATAAAAAATTTACATTTCTTTCCTTGAATGTATATGTCATACAAGTCACTTTCACGCTGCAGTCTATTTGGTTGTAAGGACAACCATCATTTTGCTTCATACCTTGTATTTTTTTTATTTATCACAATAATTACAGAAATCTTATGATTTTCATTATTTTTATTAAACATTTATATCTTCCACTTTATAAACTTCTTATTGCTGGGCACGCCTATAACCATCAAGAAAAAGCAACTCATTGTAACAGGTACAGCTATAGGCGAGTCGAGTGGGAAGTTCTGCTATACATAGTGGATTCCCTGGCCAAAAGGCTTGGTGGTTGCCAGAAGTCATCAGAATGACTGTTACCCAGAGATTTCTGGTACTTCATATTTTTTATTTGGTGTAAATATCCTCTTTGTCATCTTTATCAAATATCCATGTCAGCTGAACATTTCACAATTTTTTTGATAAAGGTGTCACTCTTGTCCAGCTAGTGTTGTATTATATATATTTTCTGTTATTAAAATACAGAAAGTTATAATCCTTGAAACCCATTGAAAACAAGTTCATGTGTTCTTCATGCTTACAAAGCT